GATTCCAAAAAAGTTGGGACACTGTACAAAATGTGAATAAAAACAGAATGCAATGATGTGGAAGGTTGAAATTCCAGTATTTTATTCAGAATAGAATATAGATAACATATCAAATGTTGAAAGTGAGACATTTTGAAATGTCATGCCAAATATTGGCTCATCTTGGATTTCATGGGAGCTACACATTCCAAAAACGTTGGGACAAGTAGCAATAAGAGGGAAGACCTTGCATCTTCCAACAGGACAATGCCAGACCACATACTGCATCAATTACAACATCATGGCTGCGTAGAAGGAGGATCCGGGTACTGAAATGGCCAGCCTGCAGTCCAGATCTGTCACCCATAGAAAACATTTGGCGCATCATAAAGAGGAAGATGCGACAAAGAAGACCTAAGACAGTTGAACAACTGGAAGCCTGTATTAGACAAGAATGGGACAACATTCCTATTCCTAAACTTGAGCAACTTGTCTCCTCAGTCCCCAGACGTTTGCAGACTGTGATAAAAAGAAGAGGGGATTCCACACAGTGGTGAACATGGCCTTGTCCCAACTTTGAGATGTGACAATGCCATGAAATTTAAAATCACCTTATTTTTCCCTTAAAATGATGCATTTTCTCAGTTTGAACATTTGATGTGTCATCTATGTTGTATGCTGAATAAAATATTTTGAAATTTGAAACTTCCACATCATTGCATTCTGTTTTTATTCACATTTTGTACAGTGTCCCAACTTTTTTGGAATCGGGTTTGTATCACTTCCTTCTGCCATAAAGCCCCGACTGGTGGAGGGCTGCAGTGATGGTTGACTTTCTACAACTTTCTCCCATCTCCCGACTGCATCTCTGGAGCTCAGCCACAGTCATCTTTGGGTTCTTCTGTACCTCTCTCACCAAGGCTCTTCTCCCCCGATAGCTCAGTTTGGCCGGACAGCCAGCTCTAGGAAGGGTTCTGGTCGTCCCAAACGTCTTCCATTTAAGGATTATGGAGGCCACTGTGCTCTTAGGAACTTTAAGTGCAGCAGAAATTTATTACAGGACTGCTGTATTAGACTACTTTACTTTTAGCTTGTACCTAATAAACCTTGTGGCACCTCTTCGTGCCATGCTCCCAGAGGCGGGCTACAAGAACTATGGTTCTACACTATGGTTCTACTTTGCTGTGGACTCCACAAGCAGAGGAAGCATTTGTTGCCATAAAACAGGCTTTGGCACACGCATGAGCTTTGCATGCACCTGACTACTCCCAACCTTTTCATTTGGATGTTGATGAAAAGGACAGCACTGTGAATGCCATCCTATTTCAAAAGGGGGAGGAAAGTAGAGGACAAAACTGAAAGGTGTTGATGTACTACAGTTCTAAGTTGGACAATGTTGAAAAGGGACATCCAACTTGTGTGAGACATGTTGCTGCGATCGGTCGAGCGATACTGAAGACTTCACATATCACAATGGGTTATCAAACTGTTGTACACACTAAACATGGTGTTAGGGCATTTCTGAATTCCAAAGCTTTCACATTGTCTGCCCACAGGACCCAGAACTTACAACAGCTGTTGAACCAGGCTCACATACAGTTTACAAGTGAGGGAACAAACATGGCTACGCAGATGGTTACCGAGCAAGATCATGACTGTGTGAGCAAAACGGACACAGAGATAGAGATAAGACTGCATGAGAACCTGCATAAGGAACCGTTACCTAATGCAGAGGTAACATTGTACTGTGATGATCACAGTCAGACAGCTACTGGCAGTCTAGTAGCTTCATATGCTGTGGTCGAGGACACAACGGCTGGCTTAAGAGTACTGCAAGCTGATGTGATCCCACAGCCAAGTTCAGCCCAGATGGCTGAGCTGATTGCTTTGATAAAGGCGTGTCAGTTGTCAAAAGAAAGTTGTAAATATCTACACAGATTCTGCGTACGCGGTACAGGCAATACATGTAGACTTGTGCCACTAGAGGAGAAAAGGTTTTGTGATTTCAACTGGCGGTCCAGTAAAACACTTGCAGCAGTTACTGGAACTAGATCAAGCGTTATTGCTACCAAAGCAGGTGGCAGTTATCAAGTGCAAGGGACATCAGAGAACAGAGACTCTGATAAACAGAGGTAATAATGCTGCAGATTTGGCTGCCAAGGTAGCAGCCGGTTATCAGGTAGCTCAGGGAGCTATGAAAGAAGACCTACGGGTTCAGAGCTTTGGAAGATCAGTACAGACAGGATCCAGGCCTAAGGGGTCAACCAACACCAGCTGCAGTGGACAGCTGGGACTATCGAAAGGTACATAAACTTCACTGGTCAGAGCCACGTTGGAAAGGTCCTTATAGGGTAGCAGAAACTACCACACACTGTGTTAAACTGTGGCTCACTGAGAACAAGCCAAGTAACTGGATCCATAACACACATTGTTCTCCAGCTGAGGATTCAGCTGGACGGACAGTGAATGAGGTCAAAGCTGATTTGAGAACCTCATTACCCGAGTTGAGATACAATCCTGTAGAACCAGAGCTACAGTCAGAAGAGGATCTACACTAGTGTAATATTTATCAGAGAACAAAAACGTTGACAGGGACAGCAGACAAAATGTCTAGTCTGACAGGTTTAGGCAATCGTCCTGGTGTAGTTCGCTGTATTCTGGGCCTCATTAGCCTAGTTAGAGCGGTACTCATATTACGGTGGGAAACAAGGTCCCACATACACCGTGAGAAAAGAGCTAATGTCCTGATTCCACTCGAGTTGGTTTTTTTAATTTGGGTAAAATTTATTTATTATTTTAATGATAGATACATGTGACATTCTTGACTGCTCTGTGTGGCCACAGCAAGAGCAATTAAGACAGTTTGATAAATATATTTGAATACCGTCCTATGTCTAGTTTAATGTTCAGTGTCTTACTAATCTCACTAATCTTACCAGAAATTTAGTTGTTAGGATGCCCCCTGAACAACCCTTCAGGTGTATGATGGCTTTAGGAGAACAAGTCCGGTCTTACCTGCAGGTAGCTCCTCAGGTCTCGACAGTCTCCCTCCAGACTGGTGATCTGCTGTTGGTACTCCAGTATCCTGAAAACAAACAAGGAGGTTTTAACATCATGCATCACTTTCCTTTCCTATGCAAGTCAGCTAACCTCACATGGACACAGATCTGGGCCCGTATTCACAAAGCGCCCTAAGTTCAAAGAGTAGCTCCTAGTGACAAAGTTTTAAGAAAATCCCTAGAATTACAATGTTTTCTAAGAAATTCCACTTAAAGTTAAGATTAGATCCTTGTAAAGCTAAGTTATTCATAAAGCATCCGAGTCCCTAAAAGATCTCCTAAGAAAACTGTTGAGTAGTGAGGAGGACTTTTAAGAAGCTCAGCATTTATTAAGCAGAGGACAACATGATGGAAAGGCTAGGAATGAAACAGCTACCAGTGTAAGGGTAAACCCAGTAAAATTCAGATTTTAAATGTCATTACCGCATCCACCGAAGAGTTAAATACTGTCCAGGACCACACAAAGTTAGCTAAAGGTTCTCACACGCAACCAGTCTGCAACGTGGGTTTGTTCGCTTGAAAACCCGGCGGGATGCAGTGACAGGCTGAGTAACGCCGCCCCGGAGAGTTTTCATTCATCTAAGAAGACCAAGTCTGAAGTGTGAAGTCCTGAGGGAGACTTCACTGAAGATGGTCACCATGTCTGCAGAACATGCAGGAAACAACTATTGCTAAAGGAGGCAACACTTCAAATCTTGAGCCTTTGTGACCATCACCTTCTACACTAAGTTACCTTTCAGCTCAGTGCAGGATGTGAAGACTTCGGAATGGGCCACACAGCTTGTCATTAAGCTTCCAGTGCTACCTGGTCCGGTAAAAACACCTCATAATGTTCTACTGCTGTACGCAGGGCTCTTGACTATTTTCACAATCCTCCTAGAATTGTCCCAAAATTCAGTCATCCTGAACTGAATGCACATTGTCCCAAATTCAAAGCTTTAGGTTTTCTATCATCATTATTGTTTATCATTATTATAATAACATTATAAGTGACCTTTGAGATAAAACACTAGATGATCAACTACCAAACATTTTAAGTCAGATGGCCCATATTTGCTTGAACTTGAGGCATCTGAAGCAAGCTGTAAATAGAAATGTAAAGTAGCACGACAGCATCTTTTGCAACCATGTACAAACGTAAACCAAAAATGCTACATTTAGTGCCGTCAATTAAAATGTTTAATCGTGATTAATCGCATGACAGTCCATGGCGAACTCACAATTAATCACTAGTTTATGGCATTTTTTTTCCTCTGCTATGAACAGTGGTGGAAAGTAAGTAAGTACATTTACTCAAGCACTGGACTCCAGTACAATTTTTAGATAGCGGTACATGAGTATTTTCATTTTCTATTGTTTCATACTTTGACTTCACTACATTTTAGAGCTGAATATTTTACTTTTTACTCCGCTACATTTATTTTATAACTTACTTTTCAGAACCTGATTAAGAAAAAAAGTTTAATTATAAGTTCTCATTGATCTATGGTGAGAAATTCACAAGCTACCCAGCAATACTTCCAGTTAAATGCATACAAGCCAGTCAACACTGGCTCCGCCTTTACCACAAAAACTGAACTGAACAAGAGGTACTTGCCTGCTAATAGAGCTAGCTTGGTCAGATAGCAAGTACCCACATCTCCAAAAACAATAGAACAAATTCTAAATTGGCATTACCTGGATAGACTGACCACTTTGTCAAAATTTAAATAGTTACTTTGTCACCTTACAAAATAACAAAACTCAATAAAGGCCCAGGGATTGGACTCTGTGCATGTGTGTCACAATCATAGAATACCGAGCTAGCAGAAAGGTCTGGTGCCTTAAAGCAAAATGCAGCTAACAGGTGAGGTACCCAGGATGGCAATCCAAAGTTACAGAGTGCAGTAACAGGCAATCCAGGTTGTTTGTGGTTGGTCTCGTCAGAGATGCACTCATCTCCCATGCCATAACACCAGAAATGAAAGTGAGCACAACATCAAGATATTTGGCAGCTGAAAAATGAAACAGTTGCAGCAGTGATGACATGTTTCTCCCATCAGCAGAGTGGCCACACAAACTGTTACAGTGCTTTCATGTCTCATACTGTGACACACCGAGTTTATATTAACCAAATATTTTCTGCCACTGATGAAATGTTTTCTTTAATGATGACAGGAAAATCTGAAGGTTGTTGGTCATTCTGACAGTTCAGAACACAGAGGGCAATTTATCCTAACTTAAAGTAATGCTACTGAAAAGCCCAAATGGTTGCTATGGTCTTGGAAAAATAAGTAACTGATGCGGTGGATGAAGGACAACCGAGACCTACTCAGTGCACCTCGCTATCTGGGAGATGATGGCCCATTGAAGAGCCACAGAACGGAGGCCACGGAGTGCATCTGTGACCGCTACGGGCCACAGAGGGGGGCTGTTTTTAACAGCCTATGTTGTCACTGCTGGAAAACAGGCATCTGCTTCATGTGATGTTGACATGAAAAGTGGCTGAACATAAGCTGGTTCTGTATATTATTTAAAAAAAAAAGAAAAAAATGAAAATGAATGAAAATTAAATGCCATTAAATATCCCAACATTAAACAATGACAATGAAATTGTGGGGTAATAAATGACCAAATTTTTATGAACCTGTGCATGAAAATGATGGATAATGACCTAACACCTAACCTTGACCTCTGGTGACGTTTCATTTCCACCGGACACAGCCTAAACATCATCGTACCATCAAAAAAATGAAGACATTTGGGTCATTGCCCCCCTGTTAATATCAAATAGATAAAGTGAATATTGAAATTACCAACATGTTAAATATACTTAACCTCTAGAGTCCTGAGCTTTGGAAACCCAAGCTGTGCGGTCCTCATATGAGGACGCAGGGACTCTAGAGGTTAAGCAATGAAGTATAACAACTATCCGCAGAATAATCACGCTGCCTCAGGCAGAGCTCCGCCTCAAACAGAGTTGGCTCGTCGAGACACGTGACTGGCTGAAATATGGCACTAAGGGAATGTAGTCAGTCACTTTCTATTTGTAATTTCACTGCAGCAAGATTTGAAAATGGAGGCTTGTACTAGTTTTTCTGATGAAGGGTTAAAATAAAGCCTAGGGCTCCCTGCTGCAGGCGGGTAACACCACATCGACACCATGAGTTGTATGTCACTTCTCAGCGGCTGGCAGCGCCCCCATATGATCAAGAAGCCTGGCAACAAGGGCAATCACACCCCCTCACTGACATAAAGGTTTCTGTGCTTTCCTTGCTCAGAGTTGCTCCGTTTCCTAAATCACTTTTAAGCTAGGACTCCTTGCTAAAGGTTTTTAGTTTTAAGTCAAAAGCTCTGAGAGTCTGTCTCAGAATGTTTGTGAATATGGGCCTTGGTGTCTCTTGTACAGACAAAAATCAAGTGTGTTTATTCTGATACTGACTTGGCCTCGTTGCTCTGGATCTCTTTGTCTTTCTGCTGAATCTGGTTGTTCAGTTCGATCACACTCTGCGCCAGCTGCAGGACAAAAACACCAAACCATGGTCAGTAACAAGGTTTCCAGGACTTTCCAGAGCCACCACACATCAAAAATCCAAGTCAGAAACCTGGAAAACAGCATAAATAAAAACACGAGGAGCAGACGATGCTGAGAGTCGCCCTCCTAAGTTTAGTTTCAACAACAGAATAGAGGATGTTTAAAAACATGTCTCAAATACTAATAAAATAAGGATTTCATTCCCACATTAAGGAAAAGAGTCAGTCAATAAGCACATTTTCTCCCTAGGAATGTTGGTTGTCTTTAGTGAAACCACATCATCTGATCAGAAACATGTGTTCTTAAAATATGAGACTTATTGAGGCAGCTTAATCAGAAAACCTCTCTGAACATTACTGATGTTTCTGTTGTGTAGACTATTAATACCTTTTCAGTACAACACAGAATGTAACGCAATTATCAGACAGTCATTTCCTAGCAGGATATAACAGCAACTCCCCATAATAAGCAATGGACAGACAGAAAATAGATGGCTGAAAGTCATTTAAGTTCATGTAGTTTCCGCCAAGCTCTCAACTTGTCTACTGTGGGCTGATGCTGGGAGTGTCAGGCCAGGCTGTCATACACCTTCAGAGCCCCACAACGAGCAGCACCATTTTCCAGACCTAACCTGTCCTTAAGACAAAACATCTCTGAACCCTGTCTTCACCCAAGCAGAGAGCATATATGTGGCTTGACACACAGTGCCTGCATTGTATTCGCTCAGGTTAAGCAGCGGCTGGTCCAGCTGGCTTGTAGTGGCGGTCACCTGTGAAACCCGGGTCACTCAGCTGTCCAACCACTGACACAGTTCTACCAAGACAGTCTAACAAAAGAAGACTGGTAACAATACCAGCGAGTCTGCAGCTATATTATCACCGACACAAGTTCTGTGTGGGTGTAGGAGTGAAGGCAGGTGTACAGAGTCATCAGCTGGGTGCCCTCTCACTAACTGGTGTTTCACTGAGTTAGGCCCACGACACCGAGAAGGCTCAGTGTGTCCCAGCATCCCAGATCACCCCCCTCTTTGCCTGTACTCACACACCCAACACAACCCTTCGTCTATTCAGGCTAACTGTTACCAAACAGTTACTAGCAAACATTTCGACTGCTGATCTAGCCACCAAACATTTAAAGTAACAAACTGTTGAGACAGCTCAAAAATAAATAAAAATATAAAATAACCAGCCAAACTTCTGCTTCCTTTTGTGTTGCACAGAATCCACCCTGTGTTGTTATTCACTCCAACAAACCAGTTAAACTCCTAATATGTGCTGTTAGCTTACTCAAAGCTCCTGTCTATATTTACCCCATTCACACACCTTTCTTCTGCTCCAGAGCCACTCACTGGACCTTGCTGCCCCATCAGCTAGATTCCTAATTACCTGGCTTAGGCTCCGCCCTTTTAGAACTCACCAAGCAGAGAGACAGCTGACCTGGCTGCAAACCTCCTACAACCAACCTCCACGGGGACGACTATAACTTTCCAGCCATGCTCCTCTGCCTCCATAGCCAACTCTGTCTATTTCAGTTTCTTCCTCTCATAAGCTGCATCTACAGCATCCTCCCAGGGAACTGAAAGCTTGACAAAATAGACAGTCCACTGTGCTTCTGACCAGAACACAAGGTCTGGTCGGAGTTGACTCTCTTCTCAGGAACCATGAGCTGATTCCCTAAATCTACTGTCATTTGCCAGTATCTCCCCATCTTTAGCTGGCCTGCATCCTGTCTGTTCCAAATTACTGGCTTCCTGCCTTTTTCACCCTCATGAACAAACAAAATCCCCTCTTTTCTTGTTCTCCTCCATTGAGTTTACCTCTAAGTGCCTACTTTCAACAGCTGCTGCTAAACATTTCAACACTTCATTACGTCTCCAGGTGTATCTCATCCACTGTCCCAGCTGAGCCTGGGAGACTGCCTTTACACATCGACCTGCTTCTTCCTAATCCTGCCAACAGCAGGCTACAAGGAAGCACTCCCAGGGATCATGAGAAGGCAGTAGTCAGTAACAGACATGGATGAGTTTGTCGGTTTTGACACACACACACACACACATATACACAAAACCAAGGCTCGTGCTCTGATGTGGTAATAAGTCTGAATGGGAAAAGATGAAATCGTGACAAGTTCATGGTGGAGAGAACTAAAAAAAAAAAAAAACTTTGTTGAAAAACTTCTTAGTCAATACTGTAATGTTCATGTACGTTCAGTTTTGTTCAAGCATTCAAGTTATTTGTTATTCAACTTAGGTAAGTCTACGTCTGCACTAAATATACAAGATCCAATAAAAAATTTTTTTACATTTCTCTGAGGTTATGGCTTGGAGAACATTAAAATGACAGCTTTAAGTAAATATTCACACTAGGGGTGGGATCGTGTACACATTGGCCATACCATTATCGTTTAGGCAGCGTTCAACTCACCTAAACGCTTGCTTAGTATCTTGATATAACGAGAAGCCATTCTCATTATGAGATACTTTAATCGTTTTTATGATACTGTAGGGTGACATTAAAATGTGATTTCTTCTCAGCATTATGACATAATGCATCTTCTCCTTAAAACAACAGACTGCATTTTCTCATTAAAATGTGAGACCTGCAGTGCACACACTCTGAGCAGCCCCCTCTCTCCCATTTCAACCTTCCACACAGCAACCTGCGTTGTGCCCAGGAGCTGTGCTCCAGCCAGGCCTTGAGAATCACTGATCAGACGCTTAAATCCACACTCAATTATTCCACAGAATAACACATGGATGGAGCTCATGAGCAAATACCCTGCACATGTCCCAGTGATGTTTCAGGCATCATTGACAACAGGTGATGTCAGCGTGGCTGCTGTCACTCACACCAGGCTGCACAGGGATCATGTTAGGGAGTAGAAACGATATGATCCACTTTAGGGGTCTGTGGCATCACATTAGAGCAGGTCATACATTTGAAACTACACACTATATATTGTTCATGCAATGAACACCAGAGGCGGTGGCCTAATACTTGAGCAAAGATGTGCACGGTGCTTAAAGGGTTAAGGCTGGAGGCACCACAGTTCTTATAGCTATGTAATTTTCCGCTGTTAACTAGAGTGTTCATAGTTCAGCTCTGTGAACCATAGGCCGACCTGCATTCGTCCTGTCTGGTGTGGGTTAAATATAGCTTAAGTAAGTGAAACATCTCTCCTCCCGCTGAGTCTGTGTGCTTGTATCTGTCTGAACGCCACCTCCTGGCAGCTCCTAATTAGGACACCTCTGGAGCCGTCCTACATTTGGTGGAGATAAGAGCGAATTCTTAAGAAAAGAATGTTGCTAAATAGCTCTGACTTCTATTCCTAAAGTTAGGACAGAAAATGCGCCATTCTGAGAATCTTTGCCCAGGTAGGAGCGAATACCTACTCTGAGATGCTCAATACGGACCCAGATCTGTGAACCACAAAGGCATTCATGCTTTTATTGTTTAATTCTACCTCGGTATTAGAAAATTCTCATCAGTTTTTTAGTAATGTGACATTTTTGATCTTCAGAGAACAAAAGCCTTCTTACAGTTTCTAAGAACCGGCTTGACGTCAGCGGTTTTTACAGGAAACTCCACTGTTGAGAAATCCGGCACATGTAACACTGAAACTGATTTAGTGTGGTCTGACCAGCTTCCATGGTATGAAGCTGCACAGTCTGGATTTAGAGAGAATAAAACAAGTGAACAAGCTGACAGAGAAGTTTGAAGTCACACAGCACCTGCTCAGAGCTGAAACCACTAGTCAACTAACAGAAAGTAACTATTTTGATACAGAGTTCAAATCATTCAGGCCACTTTTGACGAAGAAAATATATGCAACTTTGCTCTGTTCTGTCAAACTGTAAACCAAGTTCCTCTGGGTGTTTGTTGCATCATCTCTCTGCCCTGATCACATTATTTTGTCTGTATGTACAGCAGGGGACTGACCTCTCCTCGTTTCTTGTGCAGCTCTGTCAACTCCTCCTGGTGTTTGATTCTCATCTGTGCCATTTCCTGCTGCAGAGCATCGCTGCGACTCGAGTCTGCACCGGAACTGAAACACAGGACAAGGACATGTCAGGAGGACACATCAGGGACACAATTCTTAATTAATTCTACACAATTTTTTAAGATAAAGTCCAACCCCCTGTCAGTTCACATGCACAAATGGTCTTATACTTGTATAGCGCTTTTCTACGCTTTACAGCACACTCAAAGCGCTTTCACGCTACTTGGCCATTCACCCATTCGTACTTACAACGGTTCACACATTCACACACCGGTGTTGTCACCAGGAGCAACTGGGGGTTCAGTGTCTTGCTCAAGGACACTTTGACATGTTGACTGGACAAGCCAGGAATCGAACCGCTAATCCTCCGGTTAGGAAACGACCCGCTCTACCTCCTAAGACACAGCCGCCCCCCAAATCAAGCATGATGCGATTCAGGCTGACCTCCCTGAAAGTTGATACACCCGAATTGGCCTGCACTGCATCTCGCAACAGTTTTTTTTTTTTTTTTTTGCTGTCACTGTGCAGAACAATGTAGGAGCAACAAAACAAGATGCAACCTTTACTCAAAACTACTGAACCACAACTACAGCAGACAGGCAATGGAAACAAAGGGCAGCATGATACTGCGAGGTAGAACAGAGTGACCCATGTCTGCTCTGAAGCTGAACCAACCAGGCACAAGCGGCCCTGCTGCACACTGAGGCCAAATGGCAGCAGCAGGACAGATGCTTGGCAGGCGGTTGGCATGTTTTATTTCTCATACTTGTAGGTTATGTTGAGTGCTTATAAAAATATGACAATATACTGAAAATTAAACACAAACTCATGACAGAGTTCATTTAAAAATCACTACAAGGAAATGGGCAGCACACAACGGTTCAACACAATTGTCACAAGTACTGTCACCGACCCAACCAGTCAGCAGCCCTGCAGGCTGGAAACAGCTGTCACAGAACAAGTCACAAGATAGAAATGCAGGGACAAGGTGCAGGAAATCTGTTACTATATATGCGCACAATCAAGAGTCTTTGCTGCACCAGTCCTGTTGCTATGGTTAACAGCTGTTGCACAACCCTAAACTCTGATTTTAACAGAGGGCATAGAAGTCTGTGGTGCTGTAAATCATCAGTTGATGTCTCACCTTGCCTCGTGTCCTCTCTGGATGTCATACTTCTCAGCCTGGTATCTCTCTGACAGCACAGTCCGCAGGTCTGACTTCTCCAGCAGACGGTTGTCTGAAACACATGTTTGATTCAATCATGTGTCCATAAAGCTGGAACACTGGAGCATTTACCACAAAGTGACTCATAAACAGAAAGCACAACACAATTTATTTTACAGGCCCCATATCTAGCAGCTCATTTCTGGGACACTTTCCTTGTCTTTTACTAAAAATTAACTGCTATTCAGCTATAAATTATAAGAATATTTCCAAGAAAGGCAGTTTGGTACTAATTATAACAAAAAACAGTGTTGCTTACTACAGTTTACAACTTTTAAGAAATAAAATTGTAACTTGGGTCACAGGTGAGAGAAAAGGAGACATCAGTATCCATCTGTGTTTCCTGGGAAGTCTAACAAATATTAATTTGGGTTCTTTAGGACTTTGAGCTGTACGTTACAGATCTGCTCAGTAATGAGGAAATATTCACTTAACCTACATTTATGCTGCATATTGATCAAACTGCAAATAAAGGGACACCTTTAAACTTTTACTTGCAAAAGTCAAATCTGCAGCTTTGACCAAATAGTTTGAGGACTGAAGGAGCATCAACGAATAAAACATCCTGTTTGCACTTCTCCATTTAAAAGGACTGAAAATCTGATTGATTCCCTCACATAGAGATTTTAGTGTCTGCAGATATGGACAAGAATCAACATCTGTTTACATGTCTGACTCATTTATCTGCACTTTGATGGTAAGTAACAGGGTATCCATACATGCTGTTGTTAGGAACACGCAGAATGAGAGGGATCCTGTGCTCGTAACATACAACAGAGTTACCTTTTAAAATACTGTTTGCCCATACTGCACACTGATGTTGTGGGACATTCAATTCATTTCTACCAGCTGCTCACACTATGCGACCTTTTTTTAGTGTTATCACTGCTGTGTCAGATAGGCTGACAGATGTCTACCAAAAGTAGCATGAGGTAAGAAATGGAGTGCTGTGGCTATGCCAGACCAGTGCTGCAAACATATTTACCCCATTTAACTGGTTTATAGAAAGTGACTATGTCTACAGAGTGAAAATGCCTGTGTAAGTCATTGTGATGCAGTGGGCATGAGTCTCCTGCCCCTGCTGCACACACATCTATCACGGTAAACAGGAGAGCGTCTGCACAGCAAAGGGGGAGACGATGGACAAAGCATATGTGAGCATACACGTTACAGCATGGGCTCACACTGGTGGATGATCTCCTCGAAGGCGTGCCTCTGCACTCTGTCTCTGAGCTTCAGCTGCTCCGAGATGTGTGTCTTCCACGTACACTCCAGCCCCCGCTCCGCCATCACCACCTGATATAGACACACACACACACACACACCATCAAAATACAAACTCATTATCAGTTCTTGTTGTTTGGTCTCTGCCTTGATTATGTTAATACTGAACTTCATCATCCACTGTGGAATCAACACATCTGTAAACCTGTCTCAACACAGAAAACATAATTCTGTAATATAAATAATCATGACAGATTCACTAGACAATTGTTGGATTCGCTAAAGTGCATTTTTCTTGTTGAACACATCAAGCAGTGACATACAAGTTCTCTCTCTTCTCATTGTTCACACAATCAATAAACTCAACTTCAGAATTTGCATAATAACTTACAAGAGTGAGAAGACTGTTGAATGTTTAGCTTTTTTATTGGCATTTGCTTTGTCTTTTTGCTTAGCTGCCATCCTCCCTGTTCTGGGTGTTTCATCCACACAAATGTAAACCTCAGTGTACAATAACACAGCACAGGAACAGACACTAGGCCACAAGATGCAAGACGTGACAACTTCACCTCGGTCCACGGGAAATTATAACAGGCAAAGTTTTTACACTCTTTTCTCAACAAAAAGTAAATTCATATTTGAGAAAATACTGTAAGGTCTAGCCTTCACTATGTTACTTACTCTGATGTGATTTATGTATTGTTTGACTACACAAATAAAACTGGAAAGAACTGAAAGTGATCTGAAGATGAACCGACAATGTAAAAGCCCTTGGTTACAGCCCTAAATAAGTTTAGCATTCCTACATTTTTAAACAGCAAGTGTAACAGTGACTCCTAACAGATATACGCAAATTACCCTTTCCACTGATAAATAAGATGTCAAGTGAGAAACACCTCACCTGTAAAGTTGGTGACGAGGAGCTCTAATACACACCTGACGGGATAGATTTTAAGACGAGCTAACACGAAATAAAAACTTTAGCTCCACGAGTCATGCTAGCTGGTCGGTTAGCTTCTCTGCTAACATTGCTATGGGAAACACAAACAAGACGGCGTCGGATTATCAAGAGACTGTGTTTTCGATATAAAAATCCCTACATTTAAATAGATTTTAGTTAAACACACTGTTGGCTCCTTCGTGTCATTGGGTCACGGCTCCTGCACGGCATTAATGGACCGTTTTCGACCGCAGCTGGCGGGATACATACACCCGTGACTCAACATGTTAGCATGCTACCGGAGCCGCTGGCTGTAGAGCTCCACGGCGCTTTAAAGAAGAACAGATAAAACTCACACCACCTAACCGCCTTCCAGACTGTGGCACGTTTTCTCCCCTGTTAGCCTAGATGCTGTTGCTTCAGGGACTTTAGTATTCAGCGGTTCCGTTTTTGTCGTTAACCGCCATCAGCCTTTTCAGCTAACTTGCTCCGACCCTGCACCATTTTGACTCCGACGATTCACTTCCCGGAGGAGTACATGAAAATACCGCCGTATTAATCTGTGCCGGAACTGATTTTTAATTCGTCTTATGTGTCTCACCGGTATTAAAATTTCCTAGTAGAGTGAGTGCTGCATTTCAAGTGACACACTTGAGAAAAATCAATAAGTATTTGTTTTAGTTCAGATTTTACCTGTGATTTCATTCAGGAATTTTGCCAAAGTAGTCTAATAATACATTTATGGAAAAACCAGAAGCTTTGGAAACACTTTTATGTGGCCTAAGACCTGTGATTAGCGCGGCGTCAAACATTATGGCGGGGCTTTATTTCCGTAATAAACACACCTGTTAATGTATACCTTGACATTTTCAAAGATTCATTCAGAATCACATTCCTAGCGTTAACAATTTGATAGAAGTGTTAACAGTGTTAGGTTATTTTTTAGTTAGATAGATATTCAGAGATTTGTTGTCTAGGACTGTTAGTGCAGCCAGGATGTCTTCCTCAGGCTGTTAAATGCAAGGTTAGTTAAAATCAGAGAAAGGCGGCAGTCAGGGACGAATGTTATTATGACGGTAAAAGTAACCATAATATTTGTCTTAATGTGTAATGTTATGTCAAATTGTTTTAGATACACACCACGAAAACAACAGCCACACACATTATTTTCTTCATGTTTGGTCTACTGCTCTGCTCAGCTGCCAAGCTGGCATATCAGGTGACGTCACGGTTCGACAGCCCAGAAAGGATTAATATTGTATAGCAATGCTTGGTTCGGGGTCTTCCTGTTTCCGGGCTGCTTTTGGCAGGCTGGGGGTTGGAAGATCTCTGGACTTGAAGTGTAAATTCTTGCCTGTGACTTTTTGAATAAACCAGCACGGATATATTTTTTATATACTCAAGTGGTCTGAGTCGTCCCTCGGAGTTCCTGGTTTGAAAGAACCGGATGAGGCTTTATAATGGTTTTCAGCCTTTAACAGTTTAAAGTGATCTCACACCTACAGTTTATATCTCCCGGACAAACAAATTATCACTACACTGTATTTAAAATCTCAACCATAAATCACACATCAGAGTCAAACTAGATCTCTGGTTTTTCAAAAACGACACACATTGATTCTGAGTGATGAGTGATACAAACACAGCTGGGAAGTTAAATACTCCTAAAAATTATAGACATAGTCTTGTGTCCAAGTATCTGGAGTAGAGGTGTGATGAAACATTTAGCTCACAAGACAAGACGATGCTCGATATTTGGTTCACGAGAACGAGACATATTTAAACACAATTTTAAGTAAACCTTCAATTACGAAATATATAACTGGAAAACATTTCTTTTATTTGACTAAAAGTGAGAAAATGCAAAACAGTGCAGGTGCATTTTGAAATGTTTTAACTAATCATCTTGTAATGAATGTCACTTCAGTTCTACTTCCTGAGTATGAATTATCACATGCAGTAAAAGACAACAATATGTAAACAGTCTCTTCAGACCTTTGAACTGTGCATGAGCATCTAAGCTCTGACCTTCTGTGCTGTTTTCACCCTCATGGCACTGCACCGGACAGTGACATCATCCAGCAAAGGCACCAGGTTGACCAATCACACATGGGGGGATGATCAGGATGTGGACGCCCACAGAAAGAAGACTCTTTTGTTTACCTTGTTAGCATGAGGATTTGCTGTAATTTCAGTTATGCTGTTATTTTTACTGTTTGTGTGTAATGCCCTTTAAGTGTTACAACAATACCATATTGCAGCAGCTTCACACCATTTTGTTTATAACCATGCTGCTAGTGGCAGGGGAGTGGGCTCAGACGAGTGTAGCTATAGCAGAGGTGGCATGTGCTTCCAAAGATTTGCAGTATTTTGAATTTTTTGTAAAATGCTTTTTTCACTCCCTATTATACTTAAGCAAAGACCTTGCAGTCTCCACACTTCTATTTGAAGCGCCTCGGAAACATTCTGCATCATTCCTTAGCAATCTCATGTTATTGGCTGCTGAAGACGAGTGGGTGGGGTTGAAAGGTTTAAAATGCTATAACTCTTTCCTTCTCCTCCTGTCCTCTCCCATTAGGGAGCCAGTTGCCACCCAGCTGACAATTGTACAGATTATACAGATCCGTACAGGTCTGTATTTTTAAGTACTCTGTTTTTATTCCTATTCATCTCATTTCACAGTGAGCATTCCTTTGTCTGTCTGCATTATTTACTGCCTGTCTATACTGCTTATTTTGCATTGTTTGTACTGTTTGTTGCTTGTCAGTACTGCTTATTTTGTTACATTACACAGCCTTATGCTGGTTTCCTGTTTACTTGCCCCTTCCATGGGGATATGTACATGCACATTGAGAGCCAATGTACCAGAGTCAAATTCCGCATGTGGCAAATCAAATCAAAGCAAAGCAAATTTTATTTGTATAGCCAAATCCCAACAAAAGTCATCTCAGGACACTTTACAGAGTAAGGTCTAGACCTTACTATTATCACTATTATTACAGAGGGAAACCCAACAAATCCCCCTTGAGCAAGCACTTGGCGACAGTGGGGAGGAAAAACTCCCTTTAACAGAAGAAACCTCCGACAGACCCCGGCTCTTGGTGGGCGGCCTTCTGCCTCGACCGGTTGGGGTGAGTGGATAGAGGAGAGACAAAAGAAGAAAAGCAACA